GCAGTGCAATCATTTTGAAATTTTTATCATTTACTTATTATGCTTCATTAAGTACTTATTCAAAATGTTATTAAAATAAAACCATTTAAACTGGGTGTTCGGATTTATATGTCACTTAGTATATTATTCTACATGAAGATAGCCGACCTAACGCTATTCTCTAGGGTCCAAAACATTATCCAAGGTGAAATGAGATATTCTGGGGTCATCTATAAGAATTGATCACAGTTATGTTTCTCCTCTCAATAGTTAGAAATATGCTTTAAAAAGGTTTGTGTCCCGTATATGAGCATACAGTTGCCTATAGCGCCATCTATGGGAGACTAACCTTTTCAAAGAGGATTTCTGATTGTTGCCTAGAAGTTTTCATAGATGAGGCCGTGAAATCTCATTTCTTATCGGGTAATCTTTTGAACGCTGGAATGCAACATTAGGTTGTCTACCTTTAGGAAGAATACTATAAACTACGGTATTAGTATGTGAGAAGGCAGAAAAATCGATTACTCATCAATCTGATCAGCTTAACATTCGAGTCTTATAGCCAACCTAGAAACAAAAAAAATATAGTAGCTTAAAGCGCCACCTACAATCCTAGTGCCTCTGATATATCTCGTCACAGGTTTCCGTAACTGGGCACCCGTCTAGAATGCGTGAAATCGTAGGATCAAATCATTCCTATCACGGATAGTTGACAACGGCTTAAATAGAATACCGCATAATATGTTTTTACTTTTTACGCCATTCGCCGAGGAAGCATTGTAATCACGAAAAATTTCTAAAATTTCCATCGATCTGTCTGACTGTTTGTCCGCTGATCTTTGGCTTGACTTGAGAATTGCCGGTCGAATTTTGTTGAAATTTTCACACGAGGTTATTACTGTCCCAAGCACCGAAAAGCTTTATAGCTTTAAAAAGTCGGTTCAGAAGCTGCGGACAAAAAGGCCAAAAACAAGAAAAATAGATATCGCTCAAACTTTGCTTTTTGACGCTTCAGAGGATTCTGATCCTTTTAGATTAATTTTTAGGGGTAAAAAAACTCGGGGTGAAGGGTAATTAGGAGCATTTATCGCAATTTTTTTATGTCAGTATATTAATAAATCTCCACCCCTTGGACCCCATTCCATGCACCTATAAGAGACATTTCACACATTTTTTCTCCGTAGATTTGTCCTTAAACGAGAAGATCGAAAAGTGTTTTCGACAAGCGTCCCTGCGTCTGCTGATTTCTAACGCCCGCGGTCAGCGTGTCGGTGTTCGTATGTGTCCTACATGACTGCACGCGCTGGCGTGGGGACGCATCATGCTGCAAGATATTGGGGAGAGAAAGTATGTTGTGGACTACTTGTGAGAACCTGTTTGACGGACTTGATCCGTTAATATCTCTATTATGCATGTTTGTATCTAACTTTTTCTTAGAGGCTCTAGCTTAAAGATCCTGTTTTTGTCTGTCCAACCACAGACAACTGTTTTGAGCTTTCTTGGCTACTCATCAGCTTCGTCTCAGGGACAACGAACGAAAACATAGCAACTATCCTCTATCCAGGATATAATGTCTATGGCGTTGTCTTATTCCAATAGGATTTAACTTGTGCTGAATATCATCCTTAAGGAACTGATGACGGCCTTGCGTGGGAAGTGTAAAGTCAACCTACTTGACGGCATTTTTTTATTTCAACATATATAGCAAAACCCCCATTCAGCAGTTTAGTATTCATTCCTCTCCACAACCACTTTTTGGAGTGATCTAGGGTCAACAACAACATCGCAAACGCCCCATCGAGTGAACACGTCCAGACGGTATTCCAGAAAGTCGTTTCGTCCTGTCCGATAGTATTTCCGCCTCCGATTTGAATCAATTGTACGCCGCTTTAGTGCCCCGACCATCACCTATGAACTTACGGAAGGTCAGCAACGGTAACGGTTATTGCGCGTACTTCAGGCAAATGTTCGCTTACCGTTTTAACTTTGTTTCTTGTACGAACGCTCTACTTGAGTGTAATGGGAAAAGCGTTTGAACACAAAAAAGGTATTACATACTCAAACTAGAGTGAGAAAGATTCGAAGATAGCCCAGCAAGTATGGAAGAAATATTTGGATTAGGTAGTTTTGCGTAATCTTACCTAACCCTAGAGAGGTCGCGCGGACTCTCAGTCCGCATTAAAAAGTATTTGCTTATTAGTCGGCCATTTTCAGGAATATACCGCTGACCAACTATGTACCTTTCGTATACATCACGTTTAACTCTAGTAAGCCTTATCACGTTGTTGGAGATATGCGCGCTTAGAGAAACTGATAGAATAATGCTTGCAATCATGGGATTCAGAAGAAGAATTTGATAATGAAAGGGAAGAGGACGAATATAACATAAGTGTGTTTATTCACGATTGAGATGCAGAACAAGAAGTTTCAGATACAGAAATAGATTTCAATCAGTCCTTAGAGCTGGTAGGCACAAGTCCTTGTTTCATCGGTAAGCACAACGTCATGACATGGAGAAAACACGTACCTCCAAGAAATCGGCCAACTCGATAGTTTTGTCTAAACTGTAATGCTTATGTATGTTTACAACATGCTAAATATTTGTGCAGTAACTATCTGGATAAGGGTTTTGACTAATACGAAAGAACCAGCTTTGATTTACTTTCCAGATATTTCATAGTTAGCATTTCCTTGTAAATTAGTATAAGCCATTAAGTTGTTTTTATGCTTATAAACTTACCTTTGTTAAACAATTTTTTATCGCTTCGTGTAAATAAAATGCGTTTAATGTAAATTTTCTAGTTTGTTTTAATAATTAAGGCCTACCAGTTGACTTAAATTTCCGTGAAAATGGCTTTTCACCAAAAGAAAATATGGCGCGACCTCTGTAGGGTTAAGAAGAACCCCTTTTATCGAATGTGCATGTACCCATGCTTAAAATTGCGTTAAAACTGTTTAAAACTATTTTTAGTCAAATTCCCAAAATTATTTTTCTTTTTAGAGAAATTTTCTTCTAATGACCCTTTATATATGAATTTCTTGTAGTTAAGTGAATTTGGGGTTTGAAGAAATACAGTTTCTTGTTACAAAGTTGCAGACGATTCGGAAAAAATTATAAAAAAAATCTTAAGCCCCAGCTTAACGTATAATATTTAGTAAAGTAAAAGATACTTATTTTGGTTAAGACATTACATAAAATGAGATGTTTAAACTTATCATCTAATTACATTAACAAGCTTGTACTTTGCAATATATACATACAAAAAAACAAAAATAAAACCAAAATAAAGTGATTAGATATATTTAACAAACGAATTAAAAGCTTTTCCGTGTCCGATTATTAGAAAAAAGTATAGCGAATTCACTTCGAAACTGTGATGACCAAAAGATAATCCAACATCCAATATCTAACAAATTCATTATTACTGGGTGTACTTTTTTCTGACACTTAAGGCCGATTTCACCAACATTAATATTGTGGACCAATGGGAAAATACCTTACCGAAATGCAATTTGACAGAAGCTGTCAAAGGTCTCTGAATATTAGTGATTTCTATTGAAATATTGAATAAAATCGTGAAAATTCGACTGTATCATAAACAAGACCATTTTTTGATTACAACATAATGCTTTTGTACACAAAAAACGGGACAACTTTCATGTATTTTGATATATGTTATAGGTTTACATTTAACAATCCGTTATCCCCCTCAGCGAACGGGAATGCGGCAAATAATAGGTCGATTTTCTAACTGTTAAATCTGGCAGCAGATTTGGGCGTTTGTTAATGCATGGCAATTTCGAATTTAACAATATACTGTTATCATTACATACCTGTTGAATACTGTGGATTTGTCTGTATTTTGCAAGAAAATAGAATATAAAATACATTCCATCCAATTCCTCATCTTCCTTTACGTCACAATAGTAATCATTTATTAATTTATGGGTTAATCAATTTCTTCAAAGCAATAAAAACATTATGTCCTCTCCATCCCAAAACACAGATAATATGTGTAAGACGTGTCAATCCCTACATCTCCCTGATGCATAATGCAATTACTATGGACATAGACAAAAAATTCTGAAAAATGTTTCACAAATAATGTCTTTTAAGTCCAAAAATCATAAAAACTAGTATTGTCTTTTTGACCGGCGGGGATATCTGTCTGTCACTCGCAGGGTTGCCAAGTCAACCTTCAGAGTATATGTTTTGTGACTGGTACCAAGAGTTGACACATCCCACACATGTGTTACTCCTTGAAATGCAATAATCAGCTGTATTCAAATAATGTCTAATATAAATATAACCTAGAATGTGTACTCGTGATAAAAGATAAATATGGCAAATTTGTATTTTTTTTTGCAGGTTTTAGGTTTGCTGGTAGCTTTAAGGCATATAGTTGGGAATTTCTTAATCGCTGTGAATATAGTGTGGATGTTTGTTCAGTTCCTGAACAACGAAAATATTCAACTTTATGGATGTGTGGACATAAAAAAACCTGAATGGTTTTGTGGGAATATCAATCTAAGGTGCCATAATGGTTCTGATGAACGGCAGGTAAATGAATGAATGTTTGGAAACGAGCAATATCTTTTGGTAAAGCGTGTCATCAAGTAGGTGCTTGCTATCTGCAAGAGGTTTATAGGAAAAAACACCCAGTGTCACATGTCAATTGAAGAAAATAATATAAACGTGAATAAAAAATCAACAAGAGTAATTAAAACATGAATTTAACACAAAAATCAAACATTTCTTAAAATTTTGACTGAATTATTTGTATTTTCTTAATATTCAATAAGCTGGTGATGTTTCAATGACAAGTTGTCATCTCATACTTTGACAGTATTTTGTTTTCAGCATTTCATAGCTTTTGTTGCTAAAATTTGTTGATTGGAACCTGAAGCTCATTCGCTGTATCTGACGGTCTGTTACCCTATAGGTTCAGAATAACGGACTGTTGTTAGTGAAATTGGCCTTATGTATAACATTAGCGATTCCGATTTGCAATAGGTCATACCTGTTTCGTAACAAGGTCTAACGGTCCAGTACAAGCCGCTAGGTAGATGAACAGCTGGCGAAGCTGCCCACCGGACACCCAGACACCAATCCTCTTCTTTTTTGTATTTCGCAGAGGTGCCCGGTGGCCAGCCTAAGTACGTCACTGGACTTCCATCTGACCATAAAAAAGACTTGCGATCTGGTGTGGAGTGTCCGCCTAACCTGGAACAAAATTGAGGCTTTTCTCATTCTCACTAAAACGCAGCCAGAAAGATGTATGTATATATAAATTGAGAAGGATGATGTCGAAGGAGCAGAAAAAGAATCAGCAGTCGATAGGTCTAGCACTTCCCGTCGGTCAGATTTTGAAGTAGAGGTTTTGAGTAAGCCCACATACTAAGTCAAAGAGAACTGAGTTTCTTATAGGAGATCTAGACTTGTCGAAGGAGACGCCAGAGCTTCTTTAATCAAGACTGAAGCAACAGCATCTTCTCCAACTAGGAGTCAATATCACAAAATAAGGGACCCTGAGCTTTCCAGGGAGTCCTTTAAAGGTGTGGTATGAGGATTTCTAGGCTAAAATTCATTTTTTCCCCTCTCATCAAGAAAACTGTAATTGATGTGCATGGTGAACGATTCCATCAAGATATACCAGAAATGGAATGCAGATCTTAGAGTCAACAGGAATCATTTTTCAATTTTGTTTTCTTTAATTGTTGTATAATGATACGAGTAATACTAATAAACGTCTGTACTCGCCAAACAACAAATAGACTGAATTTCATTCAAAAGATGGCGCAGAGCAAAGTTCAGCTGTGCACCATTGATATACTATATGTTCTTTCACTTAATCCTTTGAGTGTTGAATCATTTTATATTCAACATAATGCAAATGACCACCCTGTCATATCATACACTAAACTAAACTAATTATAAATCTTCCATCGTCTATAGAATAATCAGCTCTGTTTGCGAACAAATGTCCGTTTGATATGACTATTGAATGTTACAATATTAAATGTTTAAATTTCGTTTGGGAAAGGTACGCACTATAAATTTGGTAGGTGAAACAACGCCTAAAACATTCATAGTGAAACCTAAGAGGAGATAATATTTCCTTAAACCTTATATTTAAAGTCTGTACATCGGCAAGAAATTTTATTTTGTTATAAGGATATATCAGCTATTTAGCATCATCATTGTACAGTTCAGTCTCGCTGCATCGTATTTGTGAGATATTCTGCTTGGTATGCAGATACAATACACTAGTCTTAAGCAAGAATTTAGTACTTTTTGTATTTTTTATTCACATGGGGACAGTGTACATACATGATTAGCAAAATTTAGAATTGATATAACCAGACTGTTACATAGAAATATTTTTTTAGTTAGAAAATAATTGCCAAGTCATACGTTTTAGCAACAATTGATTTGTATGCGACTTAAACCTTATTATAAAATTATTGAGATGAATATTTAATTTCGTACAAGTTGTCCGTACCTCTTATCTTTTGAATGAGAGATACAAGTGCGTATAGACGCAGTTTAGCATGTTGTAGAGATGACGCTTATTGAAAAGTTCGTCTGATGAACAACAAAGGCCCTGACACGGAAGCTTGAGGTTCACCGGATGAAATATTCATGAACCTTGATGATTTTCCACTTAAAACCACTCTGCTGTGTATGTTTATAGTACACAGTAAACTGCTGTATACTTTTAAAACAAGCACTAATAAACATTTGTGGGCGATAGTTGTTTTTCTCGGTCCAGAATTAGTGCGATTTGATAACTTAGTACTACAACACACATATAGTCAACGCCAAACAAAGTGGCATGCACGTCATCACGATAAAAATTCCCCGACCTAATGCCTAGGTTTCTATCACAAACAATTGCTCTATTGCAGTTTCATATTAATGTCATATATAAATTGTAAAATGGTCATTACTCTCTTATTATGGTTAATGGTCATATAAACATTGTTATTAAAATATCACATAAGTTGCTTTCTGATAAATTTAGACGCATTATGCGAAATAAAATGTTTTGCAAACGCTCCAATCACTTATCGACATGTAAACGCACTAAACCGATTTCGCAGCGTTGACACATTGTCACCTTGAAACTTATTTAAACTGGGAACTGACATTTGTATTAATTTTGACACTGAATCAATTTGTGGCATTTCAAATCTTTATAAATCCTTTGGCCCCGCATACTGTAAATCAACAACTGTTTGTTTCAAAACAAAATTATTCATTTTACGAGTAGATAAAGGCAATTTTGGTATATAAAGATGCCCAAACAGTTAAATAGTCGGTGTAAGGAACTCGTGGCCTCGTTAATGCACTACTTTGAGCAAGAAAGGGACAACAACGGGCCTTTGTTGCCTTTAAATGCTGTTCAAGAGATAGGTTACTAATAATTATATGTAATGTATATTAATAATAGTGAAATTTTATTTCATTTTTTGTAGCGTGTTGCTGCTGCTTTAAAAATTAGGTTAAGGACAGTTAGTCGTATTTCCGAGGGTGTGAAAAGTGATGCAAATTTAGAATCGCCCAAGAAAAAGCGGAGTTATATTAAACGTGTAACCAACACAGCGACATTGGATACAAGTGCCATTCGAGAAGTGATCTATAATATGTATCACAAAAGTAAGATCTTATTATAATAACTTATCAGAAATTTGCATTAATTTGTTAACTAAATTATAATGTCATATTACACATGGTTTCAGAAGAACAAGTTACGATACAAACTTTATGGTCTCGATTAAGAGATAGGGCATTATTTGATGGTAGTGCCACGTCTTTAAGGCGGTTGCTTAGAGATCTTGGATTTAAGTGGCTTAAGGACAATCCGCGACGAGGGCTCATGGAACTACCAAGTATAGCTTTGAAAAGGGTGGAATTTCTAAAGCAATACAATCAAGCCAAGTTATACCAGTCATACCAGTTTGTCTTCCTCGATGGAAAAATGGAAACCAAAAAAGCGTGAAAGCTATTAAAACAGATGGAAAAAGGTATGTACTTTTGCACAATTTGCACTATAAAATTTAAAACTAATATATTTTAGATACATTATATTACATGCTGGAAATGAAAATGGGTTTATTGAGGGTAGTGAAGCGATATTTTCTTCGAAAACAAAATTGAGCGATTACCATGGAGAGATGAACCAGGACAATTTTTTGAAATGGTTTCAACATCAGTTATTAGAAAAATTGGAGAGTCCATCTATGATTATACTGGATAACGCCCCTTATCACAGCATGATATTGAACAAAGTGCCCAACAATGCATGGACAAAAAAAAATATCCAAGACTGGTTGACAAATCAAAACATACCATTTTTAAACACAATGTTTAAAACAGAGCTATTGAGAATCGTTGCTCGGTACATAATGCTTCTTAATTATATATATTTTGGTCGACAGTTTATATTTCTTTTGTTTATTCCTATTCTTAAAATAACTGCTTTTTTAGAAACAAACCACCTAAAATATACGTGATTGATGAATTGGCGGAACTACATGGGCACAAAGTTCTTCGTCTACCCCCTTACCATTGTATATTTAACCCTATTGAGTTAATTTGGGGCATAGCAAAAGGTTACTATAACAGACATATTGGTAGAGATGGTAACAGTGAAAAAGACTGTTTGGATATGTGGAACGAGGCTCTACAAACGGTTACCCCAGACATGTGGAAAAATAGTGTTCGACATACTGAGCAAGAAATTTTTAAATGGTATGAAAGAGAACGAATTTTTGATCGACCAGACATCGAACCTTTAATAATCAACTTTGAGAGTGATGAAGATTCAGATTCAGACAGCGCTGAAGAAAGAAACTCCGACTAACTTTATTGTACAGAAAAAGCTTACACCAGTAGCTTACCTAATTTTAGAATGCATTTTTCTGTATGAATTCTGTAAAATAAATACCATGCATAAAATTTGGAGGACCCCATTTGGATTTTTATTCAGTACCTTTAAGCTATCAATTAAATATGGTAGTTTCATAGTGTCATCTGATCAATAATTGTCATACTTAATGATTATGCAAGTACAGATCTATAATTTTATTATACTATTATTTTTGTTCTCATTTGAGGTTAATATTGCTTATAAACCTAGATATGTAAATAATAAATTTTATTATTTTACAAAAAGTTTGGCAACAATGTAAATTTTTCAACACACCCACCTTGATGACGTGCACGCCACTTTGTTTGGCGTTGACTATAGGCTTTTTTTGTGTTCGCCAGTGGTATTATGCAATCGATCATGCTCGGTAATTATATCAATGGGAGTTTGAGGATGATCTGGCGCTTTTTGTCCTTTCGCAACCACCAGCAGCTACACCAGCTACACACTCTATTAATCACTTCTCAAGCCACAAGCCCAAATACCTCGTTCATAAGGAGGAACTTAAGCTAGTCGTATTACAGAGGAATCTTAACAGCCGCAACTGTCAAGCTTACCCAGTCGTAAATTCACCCTCATTCCACTTCCTGGCTATAATTTGGAAGGCGGATGTTCCTGGATTCCTGGAACGATACCGCCACTAGCAATAATTTCCAATTTCGGGAGCATGGACGGCGCACAGGTAACATTAAGCTACTCGACCACTGAGACGAAGCGACGCGAAACGAACCACGGCGAAATTTGATGTTGCACACGACGAACCTGAGACGTCGTTTCGCTTCGCACCGCTCCAGAGCGCAGGTCTCGTGATTCGCTACTCTTATTTTGGTTTCTTTAGACGGAAGCAGTCATTATCGCGTGAAAACGTTTAGTATAGGAGTGTCTTTTTACCATTTTTATCCCAAAGTGTAAGACTCTCCTGAAGTCCAATATAAAATTAAATATAACTAAACGTTTTGCAATGCCAAAGGCTAGCATGCAAAAATTGGGCTCAGTGTAATGTCGCAGCGCAATAACAGTCGATTTTTCTGGACGCTGGCCAAGCAGACTGGAGAGGACTTTTCAAAGAGTGGCATTCCACCGCTTGCGTATCAGGATGGAACCATTGTGATAGGCTAGAACGGAGGTGCTTGCCATGTGATGCTGAGCTCGTCCCGGTTCTGTCACGTCTCTTTCAAACACCTCAAGAATCCCGTACTTTTTCCAGAAAATTGGAAATTCACTCATGTCCATAAATAAGGATCTAAGATGAGCCCTTACAACTACCGAGACTGCAGACGTATTAAATCTCTGCTTTCTGTTGCAACTAAGTCGGGAGCTTCTGTAGAATCTTGGACATCCTGTCATATGGTGAGGCCTATATCGTTGCTCTTGATATCAAGAAAGCTTTCGATCACCTGTGACATGATGCGATCTTATACACACTTCCATCCTACGGCTTACCAGAGAAGGTTTGTAGATGAGTGAGTGACTTTCTCTCCGGCCGCAAGATATCCGTCGTAAATGACAGGTTTTCCTCTTCATCCCACATGCTTAGCGCAGGTATTCTGCAGGGATCAGGCTTGGCTCCGATATTGTCTCCGTTACATCTCAACGACCTTCTTCCCTGTACGATCAATCCGATCCATAACTTTGTTAATGACAGCACTTTACATGCAGGAATTCAGAGTATCAAGCCGATTTCTGAGCTGAAGAGAAGACTATCAGTGACTTCCTCTGAGACGAGGGAAATAGATGCTTGGGGAGGCAACGATCTCGTACAGGTCAATCCTTGTAAAACTGCTGAGAGGAGGGCTATGCGACTGATCGGGCCTTCGGCGATATGGATCTCTTCTACCGCTACGTCAACGGAGCTTTCCTCCATGATGCTGCCACGTGATGAGCTTGCCAGACGGATTGTTTGTTCCTAGGGTATCGAGATTGTGAAACAACCTGCCCGAAGAGGCTTTTCTCAGTTCTACTGACCTTAGGCATTTCAAAAATCGGAATAGCAAGGTGTCTTTAAGCTCCTTGTCGCAGTCGTGTTGCCCCGGAATTTAGGCTTCTGCCTACGCGGCTACTTCGGTTTGAAAAAGGAACGCCGGCTGCAACAAAAGTTTACGGCCCGAACAAGGAATAAACTAGGCGCGGTGATAGGAATATTTAATTTTTCAACATACTCACTTTTCACTTTGATGCACTTTTTGTTGCTATGGATAAGAACTTCGACTCTCACTGGACAACAAATTTTAGTTTTTTAATTGTATCTTGTGGGAAAAGTGCACTTCTTTGTTAATTTTGGGGCGCTGAATCCAAAAATGACAGTGAAATAAAAAAACTGGTTGCGGTTTAGAAAAAAAACTTTTTATTTTTAAGGATATAATTAAAAAAAGTAACAAGATTCATATACTTATAAGAATCACTATATGCGCTGTCTTTTTGCTGCTCTTTTATGGATCGTTTCTGGAGCATCTCTACCAAGAGTCCAACAGTAGTCTGCAAGCATGGAAGGATTCTACTTTCCCTGGTACCTTTTTTCCATTGTTGAAATATCCTGATGAAAACGTTCGCCGTACTCATCACTTACGGCTCCGCAATTGTCAGGAAAAAAGTCCAGGTGTGAGTGTAGGAAATGCATCTTAAGAGACATATTACAGCCCATCTTTTGATACGATGACAGCATATTTTTGACAAGGGTTTTATAGTTGTCAGCTTTTCTATTAAGTTAAATTAGTGACCACCAGACGGAAATCATTCCAAGCAGGTTTTTCAATACCTGTTAAAGTGTTTTCAAACTGTGTATCTTTCAAAATATTTCGAATCTGTGGCCCAACAAAAATACCTTCTTTAACCTTTGCCTCACTTAATCTTGGAAATTTCTGACGCAGGTATGGAAAAGCTGACCCATCTCTATCTAATGCCTTGACAAAGTTTTTCATTAGGCCCAACTTGATATGCAGTGGTGGTAATAAAATTTTTTTCGAATCTACTAATGGCATATGCTGTACATTTTTTTGACCTGGCTCTAGGAATTGACGAACAGGACAGTTTTGTCTGGTGTAATGAAGTGCCTTTGCCCGACTGTCCCATTCACACAAAAAACAGCAAAACTTTGTGTAGCCTAGCTGCAGCCCAAGTAAAAGTGCAACAACTTTCAAATCGCCACAAATATGCCATTGGTGCTCATCGTATTTTATGCATGTCAATAGGTACTTCATATTGTCATATGATTCTTTCATGTGAACTGCTTACCCTACAGGAAGAGATATTTCCAATATGCAATAACACTGCCTTTAAACTCAATGTTGAACTGTCTATAAACAATCTCCATTCTTCTGGGTTATAGTTTATATTTAAAGCCGCCAGTAAGCCGTTAATGTTACTGCAGAAAACCAAGTTATTCTCCATATTGAAAAATGGTTCTAAGTCTTTGTGGCGTTTACGAAAAACACATACCGAAACATCGTCTTCTAACAAGTTCCACTGCTGCAGTCTTGATCCAAGTAACTCTGCCTTACATTTTGGAAGTTCTAAATCTCTTACAAGATCATTCAAATCTGACTGTGTTATTTTGTGCAGTTGGTGGCATGACGTGCTCGGTATAAAATCAGGATCTCTTGACGTTGATGGCATATCTTCTTCCTGACGAATCACTCGATCGCCATGATCTGATTCGTTTTCTGATTCGCAAGTGTAGGATTGTGGGGGTTTTGGAATAGGATTTTCGTCACTGTGAGGCACAGGTCTCATCGCAGATGGTATGTTTGGGTAGTTAATAACCGATTTTTTTTTCTTGGACATCCTGTCGCTTGTCCAACACAAGGTACCATGCAAAAGTCACAATCATTAATATGATTTGTAGGCTCTCTCCAAACCATTGGGACAGCAAAGCGCATAGACCGTTTTTTGCCATTTAACCAGCTCCTCAGACTTGAAGCACATGTATTACAGCAGATGTGGGGTGCTCACTGTTTGTCTTGATCACCTAGTTTACAACCGAAATAAAGCTGACATGCCTTTGTTATTAGTGGAGTAATAGATCGTCTCTGAGACGCAAAAGTCACATCACCACACACGTAACAAAACTGATCTGGATTGCTTACACACTTTCGAGACATCTTGCATGAACGCTGTCAGCCAACTGAGGAAAAAATGGCTAATATAAAACAATATAATGTACACGTATGTATAACGTAACACAATCATGCCGATTACATCATCTTTCCTTGCCGAATATAAAAATGTAGCACGTGCATTCTTGTGAATTACAGTATATTAACACTGTCACAGCAGGAACACATATAATTACCGTAACTCTAAAACTTGAACTAATATTGAAAAAATAAGTTTCATTCCGGTTTTAGCACATTAAAAATAGTAATATTTTGTTGATTTTATTTAGGATATTTTTTGGCTGTTGATCAGTGAATCGACCGAAAATTTGGAGGCAAAATACTCTTCAATTCTTCGTCTGTGCAAAAGTGGCACCTCCGCAACACTCAGAGAAATAACACTAAGGGCTATGGGGTGGGATTAAGTTGCTCAAACCAGAGACATCTGATGGTAATGACACCACGGACGCCACTGCATAGCAACCCTCGAAGTTGTTTCTTGATTGTTGAGTGGTCAGATGGCTACTGACTCTCCAAGATGACAGTTTGACAAATTCATCTGGATAGACTGAAGACTAAATTTAGTACGCTAAATTTTGTACAAAATTGAGGATAGTGTCAGACAGCATTTAGTACATCATTTTGTATGAACAAATTGGAGTGCTAAATCTTTTAGGATCTGTTCTAAATACTATCATGCTAAAAGTGAGCAGATGCCTACTGCGTATTTGGAGCAGTACAATGGCTGATAGAAGCACTACGTCATAAGGAATTACATGTTTTTTGTTAACTTCTTGACATTATCTTGATGTTTCGTGATGATTTTATGAGATGATAATTGGTTGATAGAAGCAAGTACTCATCAGTTGTTGTGATCTGTCGTGTTCATCAGCTTCGCGAAACTTCCACGCCTGTGTTGTATACAATTCTACTTGTAGATTGAAAAAATTTCGTAGCCAAAGAAGCAGTGTGACATACTACTAAACGAGTATGAGAAATATGATTATATGCTGTAAAAGCAAGGCCTATAAAAACGGAAACGCCAAATAAGGTGCATTGGATAAAATCAAAATGACTTGCTTATTTTCACAAAGTTTGGTACCAATTTCTGAACAGAAGTTTATATCGTGGCAGACAAATTAATTTGATGGAAGGTTCGTCTCAAAATTCATTTTCTAAAATGAGTACTTTTCTATTTTTCCGTACTGGCAAATCCCTGATATAAACGAACATGGTGCGGGATGTAGTGAAAAATGACGTCATTATTTATCATGCTTACCAATAAAGAGCACTGGTTCTGTAGTCTGTCGTCCTCCTCATAGTGGATATAATGAATCGCTCCTCTTCGGCGGACAAAACAGAAGCTAAGTTTGCTTTAGTGGCCTCACAGATTTGTTCAGATGTGTTCCATGTCACTTCTGGATAGCTCACGATCAGGTAACACGAGTTGTTGTAGAGAAAAAACTGGTCATCGCTGCACTGCATAACTGGAAGAGAAAAAATTTCTTTCACTACCTTTTTTCAAGTCTCCCGAGTCACAATTTCAATCTTCATCACCCGTTGTTAAAAGCGAAACTCTTACTTGCATGACCTTTAAGAATAATAAGTGACATATAAATCCGAACACCCAGTTTAAATGGTTTTATTTTAATAAAATATGGTGAATGTATTTATCTTACTGTAAATAACAAGTGAAAAAATTTTCAGCCTTATCAGTTGGACATTCCGGTTTTTATACTGCTTTTTTTTAATTCACTAACGTTCTAAAAATGAATATTTCAGCCGCAGCAAAGAATCAACGTTGGCGTTGATAGGGGCCGTATAGTGGGACTTCGGGAAGCTGGACTTTCTTTTCGGGCAATTGCAGTTAGAGTGCAAAGAAGTGTAGACACTGTGGTTATGTGTTGTCAGGCATGGCTTCGAGAAGGCCGTACGCAAAGAGCAACGGGCACTGGACGCCGCCGTAGAACAACAGATCGTGAAGATCGCCGCCTAAGATTATTGGCCTTAAGGGACCGTTTCTCCACTACCAGGTCCATTGCAAATGAATGGTTTGCAGAACACGGAAGACCTATTGGCATGCGAAGTGTTTGCCGACGAATGAGAAGTTTTGGCTTGTTTTCATTCCGGCCACATTGGGTCCTCCCTTTAACTTGAGAACACCGACGTAATCGCCTTGAGTGGTGCAGACAACGGTCACTCTGGGATCAGGAATGGAACAGTATTGTCTTTAGTGACGAGTCTCGATTTTGTTTAGGCATGCACGATGGTCGTGCCAGGGTTAGAAGGCGACGTGGTGAAAGGAGGAATCCACAGTTTTTTGTTGAAAGACATGTTCATCACACTGTTGGAGTTATGGTTCGGGGTGCTATAGCTTATGGTTCCAGGTCACCTTTAATCTTCATCAGAGGTAACATCCCTGGCAGATCCAACTTTCCAACAAGATAATGCCCGATCACATGTTGCAAGAGTCACAATAGACTTCTTTCAACATAATGATGTCACATTGTTACCATGGCCACCAAGATTTCCCGACTTATCCCCAATTGAGCACGTGTGGGATATGATGGGTAGGAGATTGCTCAATTTGCAACGTCCTCCTCAGACTCTAGAAGCACTTCGAGAGGAGTTGGTGGTTGCCTGGAATGAGATAGGAGGACATTGGCCACCTGATCAGAAGCATGCCTAGGCGCGTTGGAGAATGCGTAGCACATCAGGGTGCATCCACACATTATTAAAGGTCAAAGGGCTTTAAAGCAGTGCAATCATTTTGAAATTTTTATCATTTACTTATTATGCTTCATTAAGTACTTATACAACATTTTATTAAAATAAAACCATTTAAACTGGGTGTTCGGATTTATATGTCACTTAGTATATTTACAGAAGCGGAAGGATCTGACGTAAGTTTTTCTTCTCAGAAAATGCTAAAAAGCGCGAAGTTTTGTACGGGGGTGTCTAGCTATAAATTGTCCCTCCTCTTAATCTTTGTGAATGTCTTTTTAGAAAAAAAGCTATTTATAAAGGTGGTATGGTCTAATACGAAGTCTTTTAGGCGATTTATATTTCATAAATCTGCGAAACTTGGTCACTATGACAATTTGTGCTGCTACCCTTCAATAGTGTAAGCTGCAATGACACTCGACGATTGGTCATCGCGGATTTGGATATAAAATGGTGACAGAATAAAGATAAATATACTCCAATTAGGCAAATGCTTAGCAAATTAAAATGGCTCAAAGTAAAAATTTTTATCAAATATCTTGTAATGATATTCATTTATAAAGTAAAAATAATATATTTCCATCAAGTCTAACTAATTTAACATCATCAAATGTCGACCATCATTTACATAATAGCAGAAATAAAGATGACTTCCATTTAATGACCAAAAAGTATAACATATGCTACAAATCTGTATTCGATCAAGGGTTGATTGAATATAATAAATTATACACAGAGTTAAAAGACCAGAAAACTTTGACAAAATTTGAAGTAAACTTGAGAAATCACTTGTTAAATCTACAATTATAGGTTACCCAGCATTTACATCATACATCATATGGCTTGAATTTATTAATTCTAAGTTGTTTACAATTATTCTGTTTATGTAGCCAAATGTGCTAAATAAATCTTTCTACTACTACTACGAGGGATGTCTTTTAAGTTTTGCATATGGAAATAAAACAACACGGTAGGTAGTTTTAAATCACTTTATTGTTTTTCGAAGATTAATACACATCTGCATGCGCTCGGACCAATTTTCGAAGCACTTATATCACACGTTTGCTGGCAGATCCAAAACGGCATTTTTGAATGCGAAAACTGCTTCATCTGGTGACTGGAACCTTTGACCACGCAATTTTCGGGAAGTAAAGAAATCATTAGTTCTTAGATCGGATCTATAGGGAGGATGGTCCAATAATTCCAAGTTTTCTTCCGGTAAATACTGCCTTGTTTTTTGGGCTGTGTGCGAGCTTGCATTGTCTTGGTGGAGGATGATTCTTCTTTCGGGGTTGATTTTTCGAAGCTCGGTGATGAGTTTTGGCAAACAAATGGTGGTATACCAATCCGCAGTAACAGTTCTTTGCTCATTAAGAGGAATATGACCCGCTTTTGACACAAATGTCGCGACCATCTTTTTCGAAACACTTCGAGAACGGATGACTTTTGTTGGCTTTTCTTCACCTTGGAACACCCAAACAGCCGACTGTGGTTTATTTTCTGGTTCATAACAGTAAATCCATGATTCATCACCACTAACAATGCTGTACACATTTTTTGAGTTTCCGGAATTGAAGCGGTCAAGCGTTGTTTGACACCAATTAACCCTGGCTGCTTTCTGCTCTTCAGTCAACAGGTGGGGTATCCAACGATTTTCTTATTCCTAATTCTTCATGTAAATTTTTTTGAAGGACGCCTCAATCTCGCGATATGTCACATGTCTATCTTCAATGATGAGTTTGCGCACAGCATCGATGTTTTCCTGTGTCACTGTAATGAGAACACTGCACGTATTGATGTGAAACTTTGAATTTAAGTTTGCTAAAGAGTGAGGTTAAGATTCACTACTGACGTTCGATCCGCGCGGCCTACTATGTTTCTATATGCAAAACTTAAAAGACATCCCTCGTACTGGAGTGAGGCTAGTAATATGAAAAATATAGAATACTAATGTTGGACGGAGAAATTTTGTTACTAATATCCTTAATTAGTTATTTAAAAATTGTAAAGTTAACAAAATTGTAATATAATTTTGTCAGACATTCCAACCAAAAAGCGTTTGGTAACAATGGTAACTAACATGCATTACTGCTGCAGAGTTACCACGATTTCTATGTAGGTAGTGGAGGAAGCATATACAGGGTGTTAGTTTGTTCATACGAAAGTAACTCTTCTATACTGTTAAAAAAAAAATATTTGTATGAAGTGTATGGTTTGCAACACGAACATTCTCTAAGAGACATATTAGTGATCATTGTTTGGCATACGCTTAAAATGGATTCCCTGAAAATTTCATCATGGATGCGAATCTTTGAAACTGTTTCTTCAGCACCCGAGAGGCAGAGACAGGAAAAAGAGTAAACAAATTTGACTTTGCTTCAAATATATGAGTTCTTAGCAAATACTTTAAGAGAGAGCGACAGTCGATCCTACGGGATCGGGAATGTGGATAAGAATAGTATCGAAGTTTTCCAATTAGGAATTCCCCCCATTACCGGCCTCATTCCGATACCATTTTTATCCAATTTCGCTGAAATTGGAGTTCATACTAAATATGAGCATCAAAAAACGGTACAGTATCGTGAGGCCAAGTTTAGAGTAGGTAAATGAGAGCTTTGGAGATTGCAGAAAACATTGTCATCAGATTTCTAATGTGTGCACTAGATTTACCCAAAAAATAGGTTTCACCCGAGATCGCAGGTACATAAGAATTTTTGAGATTTCTTTTCACTAGTATACATTTTACTTTCTCAGGTGAAAATTTCCGTTCCGTCCACCCGCTATTACAAGCCAACAAAACTCGTTGAACCGTGGAAACTTAGACCACTGATTCCGAATATCGCCATCAAAAAAGCAAATGTGTCGCCTGTCAATCCCAAAATCGCGCAACCTTTTTTTTACTATTTTGATCACTTATCAGTAATTTGAATTTCTTTTTATTGATTATAGAGCGAGCCCTTTTAATGATTTTCTTTTGGTAAATTTCATAGCTTATGGATTGTATAATTTCTCAGCGACTTAGTATTGTATTGAAATCTTTTGGACACTATGTTATACTAATATTAACGACTATCTCAGAAATTTACTCATAAAATGTTGTTGGTCGCTCGTAGAGAGATCTGGTTCTGCCCGTTGGCAACCAGCGCGCCACATTGTGATTTCTACATGTACTAGCCGTATATGAATATTTGATTTACTATCAAGATACCTTGTTTTAGGGGTTGCGAGCGCAGACATGTCCAGCGCCATTTTGCTTTGGCCGTCCGTTGTGGTTTTGGTTGTGTGTTGGGCGTTGTATCGGTAAATTCTAGATTTTGGGATATTAACGCCCCAAACACCAATTTATGGAGTAGCACCCTTTTATTTTGTATCTTACGTTTAGTTGTGTTGGTTCGAGTGCTATCCCGTCCATTTTCTAATGGGATTTTAACCTTCAGCGGTAAGTTCTTTTTTGTATACCGTCGGACCATGTCCATTAATGCTTGTCCTGAAGAAGTTTGTTCAATATCTGCTTCCTTTAAGTGGAAAGGCATTGCGGTGAAGCACCATTCACACTCCTCCAGCTTTGTTTTGTAGCGGCCTTGCAGCTGTTTCACAGCCGATTTTGTTGGCAGCCCTTCCTCTTTACAAAAAACCCTGATGTGAACAGGTAAAATGTCATTTTAATTGGGTATTTTATAGATATTAATATATTAATTATTGCTGACTGAAATTCTTAGAGTGTTCTTGATCTTGTTTGACATTTCACTTATTCAAATATAGG